TAGTACTTACATAATAAATAAAGTAAATAAAAGCTGAAATAAATAACAACTGAATTAACAAACTGACTCAAACTGACACTACTATAACTGGAACAAATAACTACACATGCTGTCCTACGAACACAGTGGGGACCACTGCAGTGGGGCCCACATCAGTGTTCTCTACACTAACCAACAACTTATGCTAGAGATTACCGGTTCTCCTCCTACAGTCCTACCCTTTAATGGTCCAACCAGTTGGCATTGCTAGGTAAGGGGCTATTTTCAGTCTGGTGGTCTGATCAAGACACATTACTTGTGGTTCTTAATTTATTCTCTTTCTCTGGTCAAATGGATTACATAATTGTTGAAAATTGTTGTCTAATCTATACAATTATTCCTCATTATCTTTTCAATTGCTTATGCACGTCAAGTGGGTTTAGAAGAAAGCACTAAAAGACAATTTTGTATTGTAAAACAGTATTTACTTATTCCTTTTGAGCATCTTAAGACAATGGTTTGATTACTGATAGGGGTGTTGGTAATTATAATACGAATAAGGGTCCATCAAATATGTGTATACAAGAGGGCCTTGTAAGCAATCCCAGTACTAGGCGGTGGGTCTCAATGAGATATGTATAAATAGACCTCAAGATGAATGAAATAATACCAAAGAGTTTTCCCTCCCAATATCTTTCCTCTCTACTTGTTTTCTTCTTCTCTCCCTGTTTCATCAATTACTCATAAAAAGATGATTATCAACTGCATTGTCCTTCAGACTTCATGGCAGAAGATTTTGTTTGATTAGAGTAAAGAGATGGATGGTTGTCTGGGATGGCGTTTTGTATACAAAGAGACTAAAAGCTATAGAAATTCTACCTTTTCCTTTTTCCAAAAATAAATCTAGTAAATAAATAGTGCTCAAAAAAAAAAAAAAAGAAATAGATAAGGGATAAACATGGGATGTATGACATAAATTTAAAATGTATTTGGTTGAGAATGAACAACTTATCTGTTATGAAGTTATAATGAGACTAGTACACCCAATTTACTTGGATTGGGTTTTAGCTAATAAAACTTTTAGGGATATGAGCAGGATTGCTCTTGTGGCAGAGTGGGGACAGGGAAGAGTTGGATTCATTGGTGGTTGTATACTTGTATATATTATTTTCTCTCATTTTATTTTATTTTCCTTTTTTTCTATCAATATAAGACCTTTTTTTTCTATCAATTTACTCTAGTCATTCTCTTTTTATGCTTAAATTTAATTAATAATTTTGTTATGGATAAAAATATTTAATTTGCATGCTGTTCTCTTGATTGGAAACACTATGTAATTTCTTATTCATGGATTTTGTAGTTCAAGATGTAATGATGCATATTTTTTTTTTGTCTAACTCCTGCTTAGCACAATAACATTTGGAGATAAAACCTTGACTCTACATGTTACATATAGAAGCCTCATGATTTTCTACACTGGTCCTTGGTTATCTGACTTTTGATCTAAAGTATGCCACAACTTATATTTGATGTTTTTAGTTTGATTGGGAAGGAGATTTACCTTTGAAACATCCTCAAAGAGATCTTATAATCTACGAAATGCATGTTCGTGGCTTCACAATGCATGATTCAAGTAAGTCTAGATTTCCAGGCACATACATTGGTGTGGTGGAGAAACTTGATCACTTGAAGGTATACTTACTATTAATTTAGTCTTCTTATTCTCTTCCCATCTCTCTTATCCTCATCAGTGTCAGCATTTCTTTGTTTTTATTTATTTTTGTTAATTGAGTGAGCATGTTATAAGATAAGAACTTGGAAGCATATCAAAATAACCTTCTCCACATAGGTCCTTGTTCAAATTAGTCCATTGGTTACTTGCAATGTTACCTTCGTATGAAGCATACCAAGAACTCAAGTTTCATTGGAGCGTTGACACATTGACTATTAGAATTCACATGGTTACCCATAACTCAAAGAACATAAGCAAAACATGACTTGAATAAAATAAAGGAACTAAGGTCCATTCGGCCTGTTCTCACTACACTCCTCCTCAAGTTGAGCATAGATGTCAATCATGTCCAGTTTGCTTACATATTGTTGCAACTTTGCTTTTGAAACTCCCTTAGTCAGATAGTTGCACTTCCGATACAATGAAAGAAAGGCATACCTTCCCGGAAGACAGCCTCTCTTGTATAAAGTGTTTGTCTACTTCAATGTGCTTACTTCTACCATGCTGAACTAGGTTGTGAGCAATGTTAATAACAGCTTGGTTATCACAATATAACACGAGATACCCATCTCATCAAGGAGAAATCTAAGCCATAAAAACTCAGAAATTCTATGGTCCATAGCCCTATACACTCCTTCAGCTAAAGATCTAGCAACCACTGGTTGCTTTTTACTTCTCCAAGAAACAATATTCCGAGCTACCATAGCATAATAGCCTGATGTGGACCTACTGTCATCTATATTACTTGCCCAATTAGTATTTGTATATGCTTCTACCTTCATATGACCATGCTTAGCATAGTACCCTTTCTGCAGTAGCCATATGTGTGTTTTTGTGGGCATGCATGAATTGGTTGGTTGCACTCACATATGAAATGTCTGGACGAGTCATATATAGGTAAAGAAGTTTTCCCAACAATATCTGAAACACTCTCCTATCAAGTAAAAAGTTCTCCATCATCAACTAAGAGTTTATAATTCACATCAATAGGGGTGGAGGCAAGTTTAGCACAAAGTTTTCTAGTCTCAACGAGAAGATCCAATACATACTTCCGCTGAGAAATGAAGATACCTTCTTTGGATTTAGCAACCTCAATGCCCATAAAACACCACAACTCCCCCATGTCTTTGATCTCAAATTTAGAATTAAGGAGCTTTTTGAGAGCATTACCTTGTTATGTATCATTGCAAGTAACAACAATATCATCCACATAAACAATGAGAAATGTGACCAGATTATTTCTCCTCTTAACAAAGAGGGTATGATCTAATTGAGCTTGAGTGTATCCAAACTGAACAAGAGCCAGCCCTAAACCTGTCAAACCAAGCACATGGAGATTATTTTATTATGATTCGACCTGCCTTTAAGTTTTGTTAGTCTGATAACAATCAAGAAGAGAGAAGAAGAAAGGAGGAAGAAAGAGAGAGAGAAAGGAGAAGAAAAGTGGAGAAGAAAAGTCTGGTTCGAATGAGAGAAAAAATTACATCTCCCATTCGGCCAGATGTGTTTTATATTATTAACATTAATGGAAAAGACACATGTGCCCCTACTTAAGTTAGGGACACTAGTTCTAACGTAAACTTACACATTAACAACCTCAACATAAGTATAAAGACAGAAATACCCCTATATACTCGACACTAACACTCCCCCTCAAGCTGGTGAGTATATATCATATAATCCCAGCTTGTTACATATGTAGTCCACTCTTCCCCGACTCAACCCTTTAGTAAATAAGTCTGCCCACTGGTTCCCAGTGTTAACATATGTAGTGTCTATCACTCCACTCAACACCTTCTCTCTTACAAAGTGATAGTCAACCTCTATGTGCTTGGTTCTTTCATGAAACACTAAATTAGAAGAAATATGAACTACAGCCTGATTGTCACAATAGAGCTTCATTGAAGTGTTAACATTGTATCACATCTCCTGTAGAAGGTTCCTTAGCCACACTAATTCACAAGTAGTATGTGCCATAGCTCTATATTCTGCCTCCGCACTACTTCTCGCTACAACTGTCTGCTTCTTACTTTTCCATGTCACTAGATTACCCCCAAGAAAAGTGCAATAGCCTGTGGTAGATCTCCTATCAGACATACAACCGGCCCAATCAACATCAGTATATCCTTCTGTTTCAAGTTTTCTACCACTTTTGTATATCAAACCATGACCAGGAGCCCCCTTTAAATACCTCACAATTCTTAGAACCGCATCCCAATGAGGAACCAGAGGTTTCTGCATGAACTGACTTACCACACTAACCGCAAATGAAATATCTGGTCAAGTAATGGTTAGGTAGTTCAATTTACCTACAAGTCGCCGGTATTTTCCAGGGCCTTCAAACACTTCACCCCGATCACTACTCAACTTAGTGTTTGTTTCCATAGGTGTTTCAGCTGGTTTAGCACCTAACAAACATGTTTCTTCTAGCAAATCAAGAACATATTTCCTCTGACACAAGTTAATACCATGCTTAGATCTTGCTACTTCTATCCCCAAGAAATATTTCAATTTACCAAGGTCCTTTGTTTGAAAATGTTCCTGCAGAAAAGTCTTCAACCTCTCAATGCCCATTTTATCATCCCCGGTAATAACAATATCATCTACATACACCACCAATAGGATTTTTCCTACCTGAGAGTCATGGTTGAAGACTGAATGGTCAACTTGGCATTGTTTCATACCTACCACCTCACTAAACCTACCAAACTGTGCTCGAGGAGACTGTTTAGGCCCATAAATGGCTTTCTTTAGTCTGCATACCTTACCATCCTCCCCCTGAGCAACAAACCCAAGTGGTTGCTCCATATAGACCTCCTCGAGCAAATCACCATGCAAGAAAGCATTCTTGATGTCAAGCTGATAGAGGGGCCAATCATACATAGCAGCAAGAGAGATCACAACATGAATCAAACCTATCTTAGCAACCGGGGAGAAGGTCTTAGTGTAGTCAATACCATAGGTTTGGGAGTACCCTTTTGCAACCAGTCTCGCTTTCAGCCGCTCTACATTACCATCAGGTAAGTACTTAACAGTATAAACCCACTTACAACCAATAGCCTGCTTCTCAGGAGGAAGAGTGGTGAGGTCCTAGGTATGATTATGAGTTAGAGCGGAGAGTTATTTTTCCATTGCACGGTGCCATCCTAGAAAGGCAAGGGCTTCCTGGACATCCTTAGGGTCAACAACAGAGGATAACAAAGAGATAAACTGGCGATGGGAAGCGGAAAGGTGAGTAAGTGAAACATAATTAGAAATTGGATGAAGGGTACACGTGCATTTACCTTTCCGCAAGGCAATGGGAAGATCAAGATCAGATACAGGGGTTGGGGCTGGTGTGGGGACAATTGCCGGATCTGTCGACGTTGATGGAGTTGGAGGAGGAGCAGCTGGTACATGTGGGCGATGTGTATACATTTGACGGATAGGTGGCCGTTCAACAGGTGGTGGCATCGAAGGCAAGGACTTTGGTCATAGCTGGAACAAGAGAAACAAAATCCGCAACTGGAAGAGGAAGAGGAGGAAGAAACATCACCGGACCCCAAGAAAAATGGAGTAGACTTAAAGAAGGTAACATCAACACACACAAAGGAATGTCGAGAACTAGGATGATAGCACTTATACCCTTTCTGAGTCCGGGAATAACCAAGGAAGATGCACTTAATGGATTGTGCATCTAACTTGTCCCTCTCGGGACCCAGATTATGCACGAAGCAGAACACCCAAAAACCCGAGGAGAAAGAGGAAACAGAGGCAAGGTAGGAAATAAAGTAGTGAATGGGGAATGACCAACAAGGATAGACGTGGGCATCCGATTAATCAAGAAGCAAGAATTAAGCACCGCATCACTCCAAAAGGGTTTGGGAACATTCATGTGATGCATGAGAGACCAAGCTGTTTCCAAAAGATGACGATTCTTTCTTTCAACCACCCCATTTTGTTGTGGGGTGTAGGTACATGAAGTCTGATGTATAATGCCATGTTGGTCCAAGTATTCTTGAAATGATGAAGAGAAATATTCACGGCCATTATCGGAACGGAAAATTTTAATGTGAACACCAAATTGGTTATGAACCTCAGCGTAAAATTTTTGGAAAATGGTAAAAAATTCATTCCTTTCTTTCATTAAATAGATCCACGTCATCCTTGAATAATCATGAACAAAAATGACAAAATATTTATATCCATTGTATGACATCACTTTATAAGGACCCCAAACATCTGAATGAACCAAAGAAAAAGGACTTGACAAACGGTTATCAACCCTAGGACTAAAGGGAACACGATGATGTTTCCCCAACTGACATGACACAATCCAAAACAAAAAGTTGACTCAACGAAGGAACCAAGGACTTCAAAACTTTTAGTGAACGATGACCAAATCGACGGTGCCACTGGAGAGGAGAGAGAGATGACTGGAGAGCTATTGATGTTCTTCCACCACCGTCAAGATAATACAATCTACCAGCTTCATGCCCTCCACCAATCTTCATCCCTGTCTTGAGATCCTGAAAAACACATGAAGAAGGGTAAAAAGTAATAGAGGTAAGGGGGTCAAGTTAACATTGCCAACACCACAAATGAAGGATGCGGAGTCATTAGAAAGGGTAACAGATTGTGATGTTGAACAATGAGAGAGGGAGGAAAACACACTTGGAGTTCTAGTCATGTGATCGTAGGCTCCAAAGTTAATAATACAGGGATTAGGTGTGGATGCTAGACAAGCCATACCTGATTGTGCGAGAGTAGTCGTGTTCTACTGAGATGTGGCCTGGACAAACATCTCATACTCATCATGGGGAACCCTCATCATCTCCTTCCCGGGAACATCTATGGATGTAGAAAGCATTTGATTAGCTGAACGACTTTCTTGTCTGAAGTTGTTGTCACTAGTCATGGCATGACTGGCCCAAGTTGAGGGTGGACCATGCAAGTCATAGCAATAATTAATGGTATGTCC